TTATTGTAAAGTTGACGTAACATTTTTTTTTTTTCATTGATTTAAGGAAGTTTGTTGCTCCACTGTTACTTGTTCTTCAACTGTTTGTATCAAATGTTGGTTGAATCAGAATGAAGTAACAGTAGACATAAGAATAAAAACAATTTTGAAACTTAAATTTAAAAACGGGGATTTTCTCAAAAAAAGAAAAATCATCATTTCTCCTTAAAACTGAAGCAAAATGTAAATCAATTAGGCGTTGTAAATACCCAATAGCCTCAGCCATCCGCCATTTCCGTTTGGCTACTCACCCTCCAAACGTCCTGTATATTGTTAACAGATAATGAATCAAAACAAGAACAAGAAAAATACTGAGGTGAATCCCACAACAGTTAGGGGAATCACTGGAAAGATATCACAGACCGTAGTGATGGCCAGACTAGATCGATTCGTAATGATACAATACGCGAAGTCGCGAAACGCGGTACCGGTTCGGCAATTTACGGCCGTATCGTTAGTCATTACTATAATTGTAGAACGCCTTTATGATTTTCATAGCTGTTCTCTCCTTCAGAAAAACAGGGGCATTTCTCGTTTTTTACTGTTCCGTGTCAGCGTCAGCGCTCTCATATGTGAGGCTATGTTTTCTTTTTGAATTGTAGAAGATTCGAGGCTGATATGATACAAATTAAAAGTTTAAACAATTTGATGCAATATTTGTAACATAACAGTAGAAAACTATAAAAATCAAGGAGGCAATAAAGGTCATTGTAGAAACGACTGACGATACGACCCTTAGTAACTGTTGGAGTTTTTGCTAGCTGAAAGATTGTTACCAATATTCAAAATCGATGGAATTTTAAAAATCACCAGAAATTGCCATTTTTCAAAAAATGTTTCACCAATCACCAGATTATTCATAAAATCACAAGATCTGATGAAATTTTACCAGACGTGGCAACACTGTCTGTCACACTTTTTTTATATAGGACTCCCAAATTCTTGACGACTCTGTTTTTTCATTGCTTTCAGTTAAGGTTAGAATAATGGTAAAACTATGCAACTACGAATCCTTAAGAGGTATACTGTTAAAAAACTCCTTTTCGGAGGTTTTGAGATCTAACAATAGACGGAGACAAAAAAACCCAAGAACATCAGCGGTGTAGAGTCCGTCCGAAACTAGTATCTCAGCCGAAACCAAAACCAGAACCGAAATTTTGATTTGGGTAATTATTCAAAGGGCAAAACCTATTAGCAAGAGATTAGTAACTATAGCATTTTTCAAAAAATTCCGTTTGTACAGTTTTGAATATTCTGCCTGAAATTGAGCCTGAACTGGAATTATCCAATAATTTGTGAGTTATCTACCATCTTAATTACATAAAAAAGCCCCTAGATTTCTGTAAGCTTAGAAAAATCAAATTCAATGTCGGTGGAACAGGGCAATAGAACGTAATCTAATAAACCTAATTGAACAGTCTGATACTATATGACATAAACAACAATTTTTCAACATTCTTCTCATCTCCCTTTGGTCTGAATAAATTTACCCGGAGGTGCCTGAAAACAAACGAGCGTATTTCTGCCGAAATCAAAATTGATTTTGGACCGAAACCGAAAGTTTAGTCAGACACGTCAGCGGACAGCCTTCCATTTTTTAAATCACTGCTCTCCGAAATTCCTACATTCTAAGTCATTCGAAGAATGCAGTTACTCATTGTAAAAGGCCTAAAGTAACTGGCCCACCATAGGTACGATACCTACGAGGTAATTAAGATTAGAAAGTATGTTTAGCATCTCGACATGCTCCCGACCCGTAAAATCGTCGATAACTGAACAGCTTTCAGCCTCAAGTGGTGGCGTCGCGTCCATAGTGCCCCTTATGGCCTAGTAGAGACATTCACAAATGTATAGTCCGCCTCAACAAATCTATTAACCAGTTAAATATTGTCAATAGCAATCAATATGGTTTTCGCGAAGGACTTACGACTCAGGATGCATTTTAGTGTTATTATTATAATTATACAAAATCTTTATGGTAAATTAAAAGTACTGTCAATATTTTTCGATGTTAAGCGCGCGTTTTATAATAATAATATTTATTAACCCAATGTACAAAGATAACAAACAACATGAGTAAATAAATATAAAATCAAAATAGGCCCAATACAAGTACATGGACCAATAATTTTAAGTTGCAACTGTAGAATGCAAATGACAAAAATTAGCAACAGTAGATTATCTATTTACTTGATATTCGTATTTATGAGTTTATGAATTTCAGTCCTCGATATAGAATGTAGCCACTTTTTTAAATTTCTTTTGACACCATTTCCGAAACGTAAATCTTTTAAGTCTTTAGGTATAATTTCATAAAGTTTTGGCGCTAAATAGAGATATGACCGCTGCATTATAGATTTTTGCGGCTGAGGAACTACTGTGCCACGAAGGTTGTACCTTGTATAATGATTGTTTAATTTTTTGGTCGGAGTTTACAAATTTATGATAGTGAGTGATACTGTGTAAGAAATAAAACTGTCTTATATCATACATTCGAACATCTGCGTATAATTTGTCAGTGGGATAAAGTTTCGGTTTTTTAAATATCATTTTTAGAATACTTTTTTGGAAAACATCTAAATTATAGATATGTGAGGAACATGCAGCTCCCCATGCTAATATACCATATGTGAGATGAGGCTCAATCAGTACATGGTATTAATGTTCGAAGATATTTTTCTGTCAAAATATCCCCAAGGTATTTAATTTTATAGGATACAAATCTAACTTTCTTTAAAATATAGTTGACATGGATGGCCCAACGTAAGTAAGGATCCAAGATCACTCCAAGGTATTTTATGTTGGGCACTCTATAAATTTGCATGTTTTGATCATTAATGTTGAAGGAGAAATTTGTGTAATCTGGCAGATGTTCCAGCATAAGATTTAAATGGTAAAAAATGTGTTTTAGACTAGTTAATGCTTAATTTTCTACTGTTAAACCACAGAATAATTTTGATAAAATCATTTTCAATTACATATTTCAGATCAGACCAGTCAGTGCCTTCATATAATATTGCAGTATCATCTGCAAAACTGGTTATTTTGCCAACACAATTAATTTGGAAAATATCATTTAAATATATATTGAATAACAGTGGACCTAAGACAGTTCCTTGTGGGACACCACAATTAATATACATTTCTTTACTAAACGATCCTGATATCTGCACAGATTGTGGGCGATTTGACAAATAATTCTCGATCAGTGAGTACGCGTTTCCTCTGAAACCAATTCTCTCCAATGCGTCTAATAATAATTTGAGATTAACTGTGACGAAAGCTTTCTTTAAATCAACAAAAATGCAGATTGAAGGCATTCTGTTATCAATATTGTGATGTATTTGATTTACAATTTTAGTTATTGCGTCAGATGTAGCCTTCCCTTCTGTAAATCCATATTGATCGTCACTTAAAATTTTGAATTTTGTGATGTATCGAATCATTCTAGTAGATAAAACTTTTTCAAAAACTTTTGCTACACTGGATCTTATTGATATTGGTCTTTAGTTGTTAACATCTGTTTTTGTTCCTGATTTATGTATCGGTATTATATTACCTTTTTTAAAATTGAGGGATATATGCCAGATTCAAAGCATTTGTTGATTAGGTAACTGAGTGGTTCTGTTATGTCCTCGGCCATAACATCCAAATGCTCGCTTTTAATACCATCGAACCAAGGACTTTTTCGATTGATACAGTTCATCATGGCATTTCATCAGATAAACTTGCCAATTACGGTATTCCTGGCTGTGCTCTCCGTGGGCTTGAGTCGTACTTCGATCAAACAACGCAAACTCTTTGGATCAACACCGAGTCTGGATCTCTTGTTTCACCTGCAATCAAAATTTTGATAGGTGTACCGCAGGGCAGTACTTTAGGCTATGCTTTATCTGTTCTACATATTAACGACATATTCTCGAATTATTGTAATGTGAAGGTAACATTATTTGCAGATGACACGACACGAACACTGAAATGTACTAGTATCTCAAATTTAAGCCAATCCGCTGCTGAAGTTAATTATCTTAAAATACATAATTATTGCGTCTCACAGTCTGTCCACTATTTAAAAATGAGTTTACTTAAATTCCATAGATCATGGCCTTTGACAGCTCTAATATTTAATCAAGGGTCAAGGGTCGACTCGGTTCACAGAAACTTCAATTTGTTAACAAAAAAAGTCACTTCGTTGACCTCTTGACTAGACTATAAGTTGACAAGACGCAACGCGGTTAGAGTCAAGTTAAAGCGTTCTGGCACTACGTTTCCGGTATTTGAAGAAAGGCGTTGTTCTATTTTACAGCATTACCTGTTCTAGGTTTTAAAAAGGAACTTGGTTATAATGGTGAATGTTATATATGCCAAGTGACATATAAAATGCAACACCAATAATTTATTGAATTTTGAAAAAAACTTGTAAACATATTGGCTGATAAAATGTTGAAGGCATTCCGAGCCGTACTTTTTGTAAAGGCTTTTTTGTCATATCAGGCTCCTAACAATATGAACATGCTTACCTAATATTCAGTGATTTTTCTGTGTTGGTTCCATTTGTTTCATTGCGTTAGCATGTCCAGAGTTCACACACGCGCTAATTTCACTCAACTTTCTGAGTTTGAGAGGGGTCGGATTATAAGAAGGCTGCAATCGGCGTGTTAGAGGTACTGGACGTTAAAGTTAGGCTACAGAGCGACAGGATCGTTATTTGAGGTAACTAATAAGGTCTTTTGGACTGTTTTCATACCGTCTCCATCTTGCACTGCCTCCGACCCCACAGTATCGTCGGCAACGATTGGTATGGAGTAGGGAGAGACTTGAATGGAATGGAATACAGTCGTGTTCAGCGATGAGTCCAGATTATGTTTGGGCACACATCTTGATGGCCATGCAAGAGTAAGGATGAGACGTGGTGAAAGACCATATTCCATCGAACGCATATTCATCCCACTGTGGGTGTTATGGTATAGGGTGCCATTATTTACGGCAGCAGCATTGGGGTCATATTGCAACAATTCCTCTTAATGAGCAAAGAACTGTTACTGCGGATCGGTATACCACCATTTGTTTGCCAAAAGCCGTCACCGAGCTTCGAAAAATCAACCCCGAAAGAAGAATCATCCTCCACCAAGACAATGCAAGCTCGCACACAGCTCAAAAAACAAGTCAGTATTTAACGGAAGAAAGCGTGGAATTATTGGACCATCCTCCATATAGTCCCGATCTAAGTCCTAACGATTTCTTTACTTTCCCGAAAATTAAAAACAGACTGCGTGGTCAAAGGTTCCAGTCACCAGAAGAAGCAGTTGACGCATTCAAAAATGCAGTTTTGGATCTGCCAGCAAACGAGTGGAATAAGTGCTTCGAAAATTGGTTCGAGCGCATGAAGATGTATATTAATCTTCGTGGAGAATACTTCGAAAAACAATAAAGTCATTTAAAACTACCTACCGTGTTGTTTTATTTCCATATGCAAAACTTAAAGGACATCCCTCGTAACTCTATCTGAAAAATTTCAAATGGAAGACCCTGTATATTCACAATTTTTGAGTCTCCTCTTTACAAGATTTATCTGTTATAGGGTTTATGAGAGTTTGTATTAGTGGTTTTTGAGTTACTATAAACACAGGTTCACCTTCATGAGTTTCCGACTTTAATGCATCAGGTTGAATAGATTTGATTCATGATGAAAATAGACAAATTCTTACGGTCTGCTGTTATAAACCAAATGCTATTTTTAATTTTATAAGGTAATGTTATATATTCAATTTACCTTGATATCTGATTGACAAAAGGGGTAGCTATAACTCAAAAACCAGTCGTACAAACCAACATAAATCTGATCTAAAATACCCAAATACAAGATGCTTCATTTGAAAGTTTTGGAAAATCTCTTATTTCGCGTTCTTGACCACCCTGTATAAACTACCAAAATAAAACTTATAAAAGTAAGTAGATAGGTAGAAAATAGGGGGTCATACAATCATCCTGACGAATAATTCATTTATCTAGCTAGAGTACCTACACATCGGTAAAACTTAAGTTGAAGGCCAACTTATTATTAGATCACTCTCAATCTTGGATAACTAGTGATATGCTAATAGTTAATGAAAGATTTGCATTAACGTGTGGGAGGTACCAAGGTAGCTCACCTTTCTGTACCTGTTACGATGATTGTCCTAAAAGCCCAAATTGCACTGATGAGTGTCTGTGTGGCGACGGTGCATCAAGTGGCCAGCCTGCTCCTCATATATTTGGATTAAAAGTAGATTTATGCCGAAACCCAATACATGCCACCAGCACCGATCACTTCGGTTCGGTTGGGTCGGTGGCGCCATTTTTTACAAATACCTCGTCTATTTCGGAGCACGTCTATAAATCTCTTCACTTTCAACCACTTGAAATGTGGAGGAATGTTCCGTGAAGGTTTATGTCCTGCAGATGAGACATGCCAGTTTAGGTTACAAAAGTGATTTGTATTAGGGTTCAGGAGCTGCCATAGGGTGGTATGTACACGTCTATTTCAGTTTTTGTCATATCATTCAGCTAATCTTGGAATTAGTCATATACGGCACTGTTTTTCCCTTGTTGAGACTCATCGGTTCAACATGAAGGACAGATTATACGTTAGTTTTTGAATTTCGACATATGTACTTGCAGGAAATTATCGTTTTTTGAGTGCTTTGTGGAAATCACTGAGGATACGCAAATAAAAGATGTAGGCAGTAAAGTTTGAAGTCTTGCAGTGATCTTCCAAAATTACCACGACATCCAATTTTTTTTTTTCTGAGTGATCAATGAACTCGATGACAGTTGCATACTGCAACTTTGTGCGGGAAATATTGAATACTCCATATATCGTCGCTACCCTAATGTCAGTCGCTCCTATAATTATTGTAGAACTCGTATACCATGGAAGCAATCTGTCAGGTACCTTGGAGTCAAGGGGGTTGACCTGGCAGATACATACTGATATTTTGAAAACAAAATTCCAAATTACTTTTCGGCAGCTTTATCCTTTGTTGTGCAGAAATTCAAAATTAAGTTTGATCAACAAGATTCGGTTGTATAAAATGGTCATAAGATCCGCAATCACGCACATGCAGAGAGTGCTAGTGCTGCAAAACAGAACCCTACGTACAATCACTAACGCCCCTTGGTACGTGTCAAATGAGTCAATTCACAGAGATCTTGATATCCCATATCTAAGGGATTATATTATTCGAGTAGTCAAAGCAATAATGCTTAAGCTATTTCAAATGATTTACTTCTTTTCTTTGCTCTATTTCTTCCATCCTTTCTTTCCTTCTTTCGCTTTTCCCATATGTTTGGTATCTGGGTAACCAGACCTGACAGATTGACAGACCGATGAGACTTTTAACTAAGAGCAAAGGTCCACCGGACCGCTCTGACGAACAATGACGAATAGTAATCATAAAGGCATCCTATAATCTTAAGGTTTTGTACTAATGCTAGGATAAATGTCATTATACAGGATGTTTGGTACATGAACCAACATTGGGGATGCTATTTGATGATTTTTGATGGAAACCGCGAAGACTGCGGTTACCGAGTTATGATCGTTGTTTTTTTTTGCTGAATTACCTAAAATTGCGCATAAATATCGGTATTGCTTTTTTGTTTCTAGATACTGACACAAAATAAACCTAATAAAACAAAAAAAAAACAGATGTATTTGGAAGTAGAAGAGGTTTCGAAAAAGGTATAGTTTTTTCATAATCGGATTTCGAATTTTAAATTATTTATACTTCACTTATTGTACGACTTTGGAAGATCTCAAGGCATTTGTTTTAGAAGATTTGTACGAACTGTTTATCTGATCTGATTTAGTATACATTCCAGAACAGACTCATTTTTATTTTGTGTCATTATCTCTAGAAACAAAAAAGATAAGAGCGATATTTATGCGCAATTGTAGATAATTTAGCAGAAAAACGAAAAATGATCATATCTCGGTAACCGTAGCCCTTAGAGCATTGCGGTTTAAATAAAAAATCATCATATAGCGTCCCCATCGACCAAAAAAAAAAAAATGTTATTGGTTCATATACCAAACAACCTGTATAATCGGAAGGGGCCTCCTAAAAAATAAAACGGACAAAATAAACATCGGCAGAACTTTCGCCAACGCTGCAGTATTTCTGCAAGGTGCCTTGACCTAAGTCTAATAATTTTTCATTGTGTAACGGTTAGTGATAAGAACATCAATTACTCCAATGTAACGGCGGAGTGAGAAACTCTCTCAAAATTATCATCAGCGAATTCTTGGTTAATCACAGGTCTTGCGCTCATTAACATCTTTTACCAATTAGAAGTGTTGTTAATGTCTGAGTTGAAAAAATCGAGCAATTGTATGTTTTCTAATTTTGTGTTTATTCAATGAAAACATACTAATCCAACTAGGTGCGTTACTTTCACCTGAATAGTAGAAGTATTAGTTCGATAATGTTTAAAACTCCAAAAACACATTTGAAACATGCGTAGACTTCATTTTTTCATCTCTAAAAATTTTTTTAGTCGTATAACTAATTTGAAGAGTTCATTTTATTGTGAAACGACTTATTTGATTCTTAAACGACTACCTGGGCTTTTCCTGAAATCAGAATCAATGCGTCTCGACGTGGTAGCCTTATTTCTTTGGAGCTCTGTTTGTCATCAATGTTTGATAACTGATTATAATAGCTCCTGATAGAACTCATCCAGTATACAGGGTTTTTCAGAAAGACATCCCAATATTTCTAAAAATAACCAAGTTCCTATGAATGTGGGTCCAAAGGTGGTCCCTTACCAATATACAGGGTGACAGAGTAGTTAGGATTTTAGACGTTCAGTGAGCATATAGTCAGCAATAAACACACGGGGCTTCCTGTTCCAAACTAAACCAGTGACGTAGAATAGGCTCCTGGACCCCCAATAGGGAATATTTTATACCCCACTCGCCTTTTCGGAGAAAAGATGTTCATTTTATGAAATATAGGAATAGGAAGTAAAGTTGAGATTGTAAGTAAATGACGAATACTACTAAAACAAGATTTACTGTATAAATTACCCTGATAGGTAGAAGGAAATTATACACTAAGACCTCTCGATTGAAGTGTTCAAATTATCTTGCAACAATCTTTATATTTGAAACCAGGGATACTTGGAGTGATGTCATTTTATTCTTTCAGTGAAGTAGTTTTCTTCCAGTTGAGCAGTGGATTTTTTGATGTCTTAAAACCAAAAAAAATCTCCACTTTGAAAATCCATACTATTGTACCACGTACATAGTATGATTCCAGAAAAGTGCAGTGTTAAGACACTTACTTGTACAAATCAAGATCACTGGCTACCTTTATCTCAGGATGTATACCACTGCCCAAAAAACTATACCTCAATAAAGCTTTTCTGAATCCAATAGCACTCTGATAGGAATGTGCTGCAGTTTATTTAATACCCCCGCAAAAATTGTCTTGTCACGGCATGTTTATGATTATTTTAGTTAGGCTCAAGTCAAGAAACTTTGCGGTAGTTATGTGATGTTTATTATTTGTCATGCTGGTTCGTATTTCCGATATGTAGTAATAAGCAGTTCAGCAAAATTCATTATAAATTCACTAACCTAACACAAATTAAAACCATTGAACTAGGATTGGATTTCGTCTATATGTGTACCAATAGCGCTTATGTGTCGTTTCGTATTTTGGACACCTGTATCGTAACACCTAACTCAGCAAAATTATACATTCACTTACCTAACATAAATTAAAACTATTTTACTATATAGGTTTGGATTTCTTCCGGATGCATCCAATTTTTTCGCTATATCATCGTGATTAATCAATATTGGTCATGAATAATAGAATGTACAATGTACAATGTACATTATAGTAGTATAGTAAGTTGTAGTCACCGTTCTTGGTGGGTCGAAGTAAGACTACCAGTATCCCTTTATATATCTCCATCTCCCTCATACATACACATGCAACCTACCCCCTGTGTGCGAACGTTTGTTCGGTAAGCTCAAAGACATACGCTTTTTAGTAGTGTTATATACGTGATGCCGTCAAAACAGAAATTATTAATACTTTCTACGATATGAGAAGTAAACGACAACATATCACAACCTCTGCAATCAATCAGGAGCTTAAAAAAAGGTACAACGCCGGATTCAAGTTTAAGGCGTCTATTGAAAGCTTGCGGTTTTTTCTACAAGACAGAAAATATTCGTCGACTCTTGTGTGAAAAATCAGACCTTGTTTCGAAACGTATCTATACTAAGTGACATATAAATCCGAACACCCAGTTTAAATGGTTTTATTTTAATAAAAGTTGGTGAATGTATTTATCTTACTGTAAATAACAAGTGAAAAAATTTTCAGCCTTATCAGTTGGACGTTCCGGTTTTTATACTGCTTTTTTTTAATTCAC